TTTCACGTTATTTTTCATATAAATTAAATAATAATATAATAATACAGGAACATATCGTACATTATTATTATTTAAAGTCATTATCATTTTATATCACACAATAAATAGGTACATATTATATTTGTTTTATTAGGAATTATTAAAATTGCATATTTTTTAAAATTTCCATGATTGTTATATAAATATAGTTTGTATTTTATTTCGGTTTGCCTTGAAAGTTAATCTTGATTTTGACTTGAGAGTTGAGATGACTGACTTGCTAGACACTCCAACACGGTTTTTGACTTTACACTTTTTACATAAGAAAAGGCACCGGACATGCGAAGGCACATACCACTCTATGTGATATACCTACTATATATAGGTGATAGACGGGTTGCTCATTTTAGTTTCGTCTTAAACGGTGATGATTGACTTGATAGACACTTTAACAAATAACATGCAGGTTTTTGCAATTTTTTTTAAAATTAATATATATACACTATAGGTACATGTTTATATGTATTGGTTAATATAATAGTATGTATCTAACTACCTACCTATATGTTAATATTTTTTAGGAATTATAATTGCACATTTCTCAAAATGTTCATTGTTATATTATATCACACAATAAATACATATCATATTTGTTTGTATGTATATAGTTTGAATTTTTCGTAAATAATTTCGTAAGTTGTGTGATAGGGTTTTCACTTATAGCCGCTTGATGTCGTGTCTGCAATCTACCTGATTTGCTGTGGCACATAGTCCGCGATCCGACGAAGTCGGATTGCCTACCTAAGTGGCTAACTTGAAAGTTAATAGATTTTGACTTGAGATGACTGACTTGCTAGAAACTCCAACACGGTTTTCGACTTTACACTTTTTACATAAGATAAAGCACCGTTCATGCTACGGCATATACCACTCTATGTGCAGCTATACTCTATATAGGTGATCCTGGAGATCGTATCCAGCCTATCCATTTACAACGTTTGTGACGGATTGCTAGACACTCAAACTTTTAACATTCCCGCCAAAGCGTCTAGCCTTATCTCCAATCCATATCACTAATCCTTATCACAAATCCTAAACTTTCGTCTTACAACCTTTGCGACTTTTATAATTCATTGTCTCCAAAATCGGTACCCACTCTCAGCGATTCCAACGGGCCCCGAGTTATACTTAGAGCTAGTACATAATAATTTAGAAAATTAAGAAGATAATAGTGGAACTGAATACTGAAATATAGAATAATAGAAATATACTGAGTGTATCTTATGTCATTGTACTCGGGGGTTTTTACTTTTTAACGATTATAGATCGATGACATAGAATTTCGTTAAAACGAAAAAATACTTGTTTCTTTATTTTTAACAAACAATTTTATTTATAACAATTTCTAGTAAAGCTTTTTTTTCTGAAAATTTTGATAGTAAAATCATAAATTTTGGTTCGTAAGTTTATAAAGTATGGTCCTCTAAAGTTTAGTAAAATATGCATTAATACTTTTAATTTAAATAATTGGTATAGGTTTAATTTACAAGAGCTAAATAATTTTTTCTTATAACTACCTTTTTATAGGTACACTTAAGCAGTTTAATCAGGGAATCTAATGACACTCCCACAAAAAAAAAAAACATAAACAAAATTTTTGGTAAGCATAGTTCATTATTTTTATTTTAACATACAATCATATCAAAATCAGTTTTATTATTTTAATTTATTATTATAATAGGTAATCGTAATTTATTACTTCATAGTTACTTTTCTTACAATATCATAAATTTGGATTCTTTATTAAGTGGCGAATGTAATAATGGTAAATTGGTAAATGGTATTCGACTGTTGACATTAATGTCTTAGGTATGTATGTGGGTGAAGAAATTGTGTAATGAAAAAAATTAAATGTTTTGTGGTACTCTTCTCGTAGTGGGATAAACTTGAAATTTGAACCATATAGGTTCCCTGCACTGAAAAAAAAAAATGGTAATCATTACCAAAATATGATTGCTATTACCAGAATTTTCGGTTGCACCCATGACAACAATGTGTTTGGTTAAAATTACAAGTTCCATTGGGTAAACTGAGTCTTGTAGCAGTTACAGTATATTTAAGTTATAGATAGATAATAAAAATGTACTGATTACCAAACTGATTTTTACCACAACTATTTGTTTTTGTAGATACATTAATATGCTTTGTTGCAGATCCCTAATAGTTTGGTCGCTACACACATTAAATTGTAAATTCAACCAAATGTAGTTAGGTGTTTATTACAATTCGGTCTTTAATCATTACAATAATACTAGGTAAGTGTAACTGCATAATTTAGTACAACCTACCAGTGTAGCTTTTTATTGTTACAAAACATTGTGTCAACCCTACAGTTGAGTTTTGTAGAACTAAGTACCAAAATTTCTATTAAATTTCTGGCTACTGAAAATATAATATTACATAAAAACATTACATTTTAAATAAACAAACAAAACTTAACATTGTATGGCATAAATAATATATTTATTATTAAGTAAATTACATTTTTTTTTTATAAATTTCCAGTCACAATTTTTCTTATTATACATTTTAAGCATATAAATAATTTAGGAATTAACTAAACAATAGATTTATACATATTTTATTGATAACTTTAGATGACTATATTTTGACTTATACTACATTTACCAAAATATCTTAAAATATATAAATATATACATTTGTACTAATATACAGATAAAAATATTAACATAAACAACAATAACCAAATTTATATTTATATTACATTTTAATATTTTAAAAAAATATATATATCCTAAGTTACATACAATATTATACAGTGTAACAAAATATATCTAAATGCTGCTTCTCAATGTTACATATTTATATCCATTGGGTAATATATTAATATTATTTGGAATGAAGAAAGGCAACATATGGTGATACACAAATTGATAACTATTCTCTACTTTTACCTCATAAGAGAATATATGTTCATCAAACATAATTGTTTCAAAATACTAAGATCCAAAATGCAATAACTGTGTGTTAGTATGGCGGTAATTATATAGTGTATAATATATATAGGTACTTTTTGACCATCAACTTATAAATTATAAGTAAGAAATATAAAAGAATGAATGGTGAATACTGAATATTATATACCATTATAAAAAATACTTTATACCAATATGACAGCATATATTATGCTAAACGATGGAAAATTATGAGTAGGTAGTATTTTGTTGTAGGTAGTGATAATATTATAAATCTAGTGCCAAAATATATTTTAGACTCGTAAACTGTAAAGTCATAACTCGTAAGTTGTAGTTCTGAGATTTGTAAGTATATTAAAACAAAAAACATAAAGCTAAAGATAGGTAATTTATATTTTAAGAATAATCGTCTACATTATACATACTATATTATTTAGTACATTACTAAAAATTGTAAGCGTGTATTGTCAGGAAAAACTAATTTGTACAATAACACTTGGTGTCTATGTATTTATTTTATCCATTAATATAAGTGACAATTTACAATTGAGGTAATTTGCCTTAAAATGTTTAATTAATTTTAATATAATATAACACATATACGACGTACGTATACTGTTATATTGTGTTCTGTACAGGCAAATTATTTTTATATTATTATCCTGAAATGCATAATTTAATAATTAATACCTAGGTACAGGGGCTGACTAGGAATAGAAATTGGCCCCGGGGAAACGGGACATTTCGGACCAATTTTGGGGTAATAATAAAATATTTAGAAGTTATCAGCCCAATTTTATTTAAGCTGCCCAAATGTTTGCAAGGCCCAGCGGTCCAGGCAGGGATCACCCACCCACCACCCAGTCAGCCACTCAGCCACGACTGCATGGGTAGTAGCATAGAGTAAATAGACATGACATAGCCCAGTCATCCCATATTACAGGTAGTTATTACATTTTATTATTTATATGATTGCAGCAAGGTAGTTCATCAATGCACATAATTTAATTTGTTTAATAGTTTTACTCTGATAATTTAAAGAGTCAAATACTCAAATTAGAGGAGGATAAAATTATTATTTTTTAAAAGACTGCACCTAGCTCTATGGCCTATGCTTGATCTTTGGTAATTGGTTTTTTATTACCATTCATTTTTGTGTTGCGAGGTATTTTGGGAACCCATTTCTTCTACAATATAATAAAAATAAAAATTGTCTTATTTGTCAGTGGTCGTTTGATTTGGTAACACTGCGGCTATCTTTGAAAAGAAAAGGAAACAATGATAAGCTGATTTGTATCTTTTTTTTGTTAATTAATAATAATTATTACAATTCAATCAATTCATATTATTTCATATTTGGAAAAAATATACTTATACACCTAAGCAAGCTAACAGGTTAAATTTAAGTATATATTTACTATTTTCCTATTTGATCTAAACTTAAGTTCAAATTATACTTATCATAAACATAATTCAGTTCTTGATTGGTTATTGACATATGCTGATTGTTTGTTGAAATAATTCAGACATTCAGTTCATTCAATCTAAATAAGTGAGTACATTAATAATACATTTTCAAAATAAGTACAGTATATTAATATATTTATTTTTATTAAATTATGAAATGTTGACCAACATAATATTAAATTATCTATTCAATATACAAACAACTTTTAATATTATCCATTTATAGACCAGTTATTTTGTTATTAAATCCATGATTATTTTAATTTGTTCTATTTGAATAATTAAATTCCAAAAAATATTTGATCACTTCTAAAATGCAAATATTGTATATTGATTAAGATAATTACAAATCATAATTTAAGATCAAATTAAAATTATTTATAATTAATCACAACCTTTTAATTTCTTAGTACTTAACATTTTCATGCCACCCTATATCTACAATAATTCTTCCCTTAGTAATAATTTCAAAATTATAAATTTAGCATGCACCGTAGGTAATATATATTTAAATAATTTCCTACACATGTATTTTATTTGTTATAGGATTATTATAATATGGATAATAACCATGAAACAACTGCAACTAAGCCAGAAGGTAAAACAATATATTTAGTTATAGAATTATTGAAATACTTTATAAGGTAAATCAATATCACAATGTGATTTAATCTTTTAGGGTTATCACTTCTATTTATTGTGCTAAAAAATATTTAGAACTTTGCTTATTGTATTTGTACGTTATACAATTATGTTAATGTTGCATAGTTATAATGAAAAAAATGTTATAAATATTTTTAATAATTCTAAATTAATAGATAAATTATTATAATTACTTATAAAAATAAATAAAGACATCTAATTTGTTGTAGGTATACTCAATTCATGTATTAGTTATTTTTAATTTTTCTAGCATAAAATGTATATTTTGTTTACCTAGGTAATACCATTGATTATAAATACTAGTATTTTTATTATATTTTATTTTTTGAATTAAACTAAGAAGGTACTTGCCATTTTCTTATGATTTTGAGATTGAAAAAGTTCCACGCATCTCACCCTTAGGCATCTTCCACTGCTGTTATTATTGTAAGCCTCTATGACTCGACAGCTGTGTATGATGCTTAGATCATGTATCATGTATGTAGCCATTAAGCTAATTATTGATACCATAATGGATACATGGTATAAGAATGAACCTAGAGCTCTTACTGTTTATACGCGTACACTTAATTCTGTTTTGTTAGATTATCAATCATTCATGCATGCACAGAAATAATCTAGACTTTTCCAGTCATTTTAGTATCACATCTTATACATACGCATATATATGGCTACATCTATAGTCCATGATCTAAGGTATGATGGTAACTGATGAATTGCTGATCTAAGCCCAATTTGCGCCTATGATTTAGAATTCTAGACAATACTTAAGTGGTCTGTATGTGTTTGGCAGCTCAGTCTATAATATGATAGTGGTTCACTCATACCCTTAATAGAGAATAAACTATAAGCATTAGACATTATTAGTACCCATTTCTATAAAAGTATAAACTTAATAGAGAATAAACTATAAGCATTAGACATTATTAGTACCCATTTCTATAAAAGTATAAACTGTGGAATAAGAATTTTAGCTAACAGAGTCATGAGGGGGAGCGTGCAATAATTATATATTCATGTATTTAAAGAGCCACGGGGGTAGAACTGTCCTCAGATTCACCCCCGTGAATACACTCCTGCACCACCAGGTGACTTGTTTTTAATCTAAAAATGTAAGGTTTTTTAATGACATTTTTCTGTATCTTTATACGTAATTAGTTTAATTGTTAATGTACTATGTTTGTATGTTGATGGCTTGTCGCGTTGCCAAGTTACCCATTTAATGTAAGCTACTCATTATTTCAAAAATTATAAGTTTTTGAAAATTATTTCAATGTTTTAATTCTTTATTCCAAATCAGAATACTCCTTGGAGTACTTCGATTTTAAAAAATTGAATTTTGGATGAGTAGTTTATGAGTTATGAGTTATAAGTATTTAATGTTTAGTTGAGTTTGGATACAATGGGGGGAGGGTATCCAACGAAATTTCCACCACTCTCATCTAATCTTTTAGTGCTTATTTTTATAAGGTATTAAGGTGAAACTAACAATGGACTTGTCCAAAGTATGATTTTTATAGATCGAAATACTCCGAATAGTATTCTGCTTTGGGATATTAAATACAAATTTCCATGTTTTCATTCCCGTATTATTATTTTTTCAAAAATTATGTTTTGTAACTACTATTACTTAAAATTATATAAAAAAATATTTACAAAAGAGTTATTGTTTTCTGAAATAACGAGTGCCTTGCGGCAAATGAACCACCCCCCGTATTACAATTATATGTATTACCAAGTGTGCTAACTTTTTATTTTAATGATCATTCATTGTAATATTGTAATATTTATTAGTTATTACTAGTTTTAAATTTTTTTCAATAAATACAAATTAAATGTGTGTCAACAGTCAAAAAAGGCGATTATTGAACAGAAAAACATTAAGTTCTTGTCATAACTTATGAGTCATCATAAAATATGGCTAACCTTTTTATTATCAGTAGTTTTGATAAAACTGTTAACGTTAATCTGTATTTTATCGCTGATAGTCGGTTAGAAAGACCGATTTGAAAAATGTCCAGTCATTTTTTTACTGCCCAGACAAAAAAATCTAGTATATTTTGTGAGGGGGTAAAAACTTCCGGCAATATAAATTATTATTTAATTCACAAAATTAAAATGTTTAGATTTGAATTCATTGTTTTATAGGTTCAAATGTTCAATATTATATTTGATAATTATTCCTTATACCTACAATTTGAAAATAATATTAAAATATTAAAAATATATGGATAGACGTATTATTTACTTTTATTTTTTTTTATTTGAAAGTTTTCTAACGGTACATAAGACAATATCATACAATACAACAAACGGACACCTGGTGATTGAGTGATATATTTTATAAAGAGTGGTTACATGAAAAAAAACATGATTAATTTTATAATATCTGACTTTTTGTCAGACTCCAAAAATGTGATCTAACTATTTTTAATTAACAGTACCTAAAAAAACGAAACCAGACCTTATACCTATCTGACTTTTTTTCTAATCAAACTTTTTGTCTGTACCCAAGTATCAACAATTGAGTTGCATTTTATTTAAATATCGGTGTAATAATTTATTTTTTATTAAAACACTACAATGTTTATTTCTAGTAAAAATAGTGTTATGTTATATATTTTATGTTTGTTTTTATATTTTTAGGATTGGAACAGGATGAATTGATAATTCAACAACATCGAGAAATTGAAAAAGAGGTTGATAAATAGTTTTTTTAAGTATGTTTGTTGTTATAAAACATATATTAATTTTCCAATTTTGATTGCAGATTTCCGATTCTATATTGTTAATTGGTCAAAAAGAAGAATTAACATCACTTGAAACTGAATACATAAATGATCCCGTTTACTTAACTAAAATTCAAGATCTAAATAAAAAGTACAAATGCATGAGACGTGCAAGACCAGATGGCAATTGCTTCTTCAGGTCATTTGCTTTTGCATATTTTGAATATTTGATGGACCATAATGAAGAATATAAGCATTTTAAAGAACGTGCACTAAAAAGCAAAGATGAATTGATCTCTTGTGGTTTTACTCAATTTACATTGGAGGATTTTCACGATACAGTAAACTTTTTATTTATTATTTATTAAAAATCAATTTTAAATAATATTTTTTTTTAAATCTTGTCTTAGTTTATGGAAGTGGTCAATTTGATTGGTGAAGGCCAACATGATAAATTATATGATACTTTTAATATGCAAGGTTACTCAGACTATGTAGTGGTGTATCTTCGTTTGATAACCTCAGGACAACTTCAAAAAGATGCAGAGTTTTATAAGCATTTTATTGAAGGAGATCGGACTGTTGTAGAGTTTTGTCACCAGGTAAAATGATGTTATAACTTTCTTCCCTTGCATGAATTGAAAATACATAGAATAATATATTTCATTCATTGTATTTATGTTCGCACAATATTCTAAATAAATAAATAGAAACATTAGGATGCTAAAAGTCAATTTGACACGTTAAATGCCATGCCAAATTTTTAAATTATACTATTTATTTGAAAAAAGTTTAAAATTTAAAATTTAAAAATTTTAAATATATTTATTACATCATAAAATTTGTAATGATTGCCGCTATGCCACAGCGCTTTTTTGGTGCATTATTGAAGCACCATGGAATAGTTAATAATATAAAACCATATTCATTTACGGTCATATGGCATGGTAGTAATGATCAATTATGGCCCCCGGCAGTCGCAAAAGCATAACATTTGAGATTTATAAATGAGTAATGAACGCCGGCGGCTGCATCTCACTTAACGTGTTAATATTAATATTTGATCACTTATCAATCAGTGTAATAAAATACTTTGTGAAAATATGACATAAACATTAAATTATTTTAATGCAAATGAATATTATAATGATATATAAGAATTATAATCATCACATTTTTAATGTTTTGTTGAGAATAAACCTATGGTATATGTTGAAATATTTTCAAAAAAAAAGAGATACTCTGTTTCCTTTTGTCTTTTTAATTTAAGCACTATTTTTTTCTAGAACGATTATTTAAACAACTATGTTCTGTTTTATTATTCAGGAAGTAGAGCCGATGTTCAAAGAAAGTGATCATATTCATATTATTGCATTGAGTACTGCGTTAAATGTTGGAGTACGAGTAAGATACATGGACAGAGGTGAATCATCTGAAGCTATTGCCCATGATTTCCCTGAAGGATCTCCAGTCTGTGTTAATCTTCTCTATAGGCCTGGCCATTATGATATATTATACAGTAGATAAAGTCAAATGTGTTTAATTATGAATTTATTTAATTAATACAATCAAATTTAACATCATTATTTAGATGGTTGTTTTATTTAAATATTAAAAAAAGAAAAGAAATTTATAGTTCCATATATAAATTACACCAACTCATCAAATATCTTAAGCTTGATTGAACTTATTTAATAGATTTTTCATAAAATAATTGTACACTCATACTATATAGATTTACTTGCTCACAAGTTATGTGTTTTTATATTATATAATATTGTCTCGAAAGCATATACATTTTTGTTTCTAATGTTTCTTGGTGATGTGCAATAATAATAGTACTTTATTTTTTTTTTAATAATTTTGAAATAAAAAGTTAAGTTTATTGAGATAGTGATTATATCAATCAATTAAACCATAGTAAATACAAAATAAATTAATTTACTTAATATTAATTAAAATTTAAAATAAATAATTTATAGAAGACAATTATTTGCTTAAATATACTCTTAAATCCATGGCACCGATTATTTTATTCATTAAAAAATAAACTAATCAATTTGATTATGTAAAAATAATACTAAAAATTAATTTGAAAATATTTAAATTCATCATTTACATTTTTCACACAAAATATTTGTGTAATATTTAAGCCAGTTAAATTAAATACCCTAATTTGTTAAAATGAGTATATTTTTCAACATATTGAATGAAGAGTAAAGACTATTGGAACTATAATCTACTTAATTCAAAAATTAAAGTGACTACTGACTAATAATTTATATTTGTTTAAATTACATTTTAAATGTATTATAATGTAAATTATATGTCAATCAAAATAAATCTATGTATTGGTTCAATATACAGATTACTGTTATTTCAATATATAATAATACAAATACAGCAGATTTATGCTAAAAAATATTGCAAATAATAATTACTCATAATACTTATTTAGTATGTTAATAGATAGTATATTCTCTCCTGCCGGAACTTAACTATAAATCAAGCACTGGTTGTATTATGTCTTTAAACTTATTTTAATTTTTACCACCATTCAATATTTTGGTAATTTAGACATTATTTTAAAATGTTATGTCCAACAACACATTGTTGCTAAATAAAGTACTTTCAGTTTGTGGTTTGATTTCTTTTTACTGTAAATATTTTGGACACTATTTTTTTTTTTTTATGTTTGATGCCAATGCCTAATTTAGATATGGTTTTTAGTACATTTGGTTAAATTCTATTCAATTTAAGTTTTTTTTTTTTAAATTTTAAATTAAATATCACTATTGTACATTAAAATGTAGATTATATACTGTAATTTATATTCTGTTGTTTTTTTTATCTCATAATAACTTGAAACCCTGAGTTTAAACTTTAAAATTGATATTAAGAATCTCGAGTTACAGTTTTTATATTATTAAATATATAAAAGTATAAGTAATAATTTACATTTAATTAATGTTTACTGTAAATATGAACTTTAAATTATTGATAATATGTTTTGTTATGACTAGGACTTTGTGTTTGTAGGAGATTGCGACAGGACCGGCTCAAGCGAAAATATTGAACTAGGCAAAATAAAATTTTAAATATATAAATACAATATAACATTATAACTATTTTAAATGCCGTTCTTTTACTAAAGTGCTGCTTAAGTACCTCCCTAGGCGTGGGCGTATGTCGCCTACCCATTGAGCCGGGCCTGGATTGATAGAAATTAAGATGTAACATAATTTATATTAATAATGATGCAAAGTAAGATGATACTTCTTTTAATGTGGTAGAGGTGTCATGTTAAAATATTTAATGAGGGGTGTTGTTGGTTTTTTGGACTGACGTCAGTGGCGCCGAACACGGGGTATAGGTCAATCAATTTTTATTGGTAGGGTGGTGGTGGTTGTTGTCATGGAAAGTGGTTTAGACTTAGGGAGGTTGTGAGGGACAAAGTCTGCTAGAAATTTTCTAGGGATAAATATAAGCAGTGGCGTGGTGAACATTTATAAACCTTGATGCCCAGCATATATTTCAGTACCTACCCCTTCTTTATCCCCTTAATATAATATAATATACATATAATTATTATGGAACTGTAAATATTTTAATTTTTTGTTGTATGTTATTGGTTACCATAATGTACCCAACCACCCCACCCCAAAAAAAAAAATTCACCATGACGCCTAGGCGTCATAAAACCCCATTCACCACGCCACTGAATATAAGTATAATATAAGTATCTTCTTTTTCCTAGTCTGCCTGAGTATTTTTGAACTACTTTGGCTCCACTGACTGACATATTAGAAATTGTTTTTCTAACCACAAATACATTATTAACTTTATTAACATACCTATGGAACAATAATTTTTAATTTCCTTTAAAATTTATGGAACCAATGACCAACTTTTTACTAAAAATGTAAATTGAAACGAAGATAATTACAGTACAGGATATTGTTTACAATGAATTTGAGTCCTTTATTTCCTAAACATTTGATTTAAATACAGTGGATTTTGCTTAATGTAGGACCAAACTCATTTCCCCACATTAGGTTGTTGGCTATATAAACTGAAATTAGTTAGTTAGTAATGTTAGTATATATTGGAGTTGGGACCAGACCATTTGCCCACATTAGGCAGAATTCACTGTAAACTATTTTAATAAAAAATAAGATTAGAATAAACTTTATGACTTGTTCAGCTTAACTGATTTCCTATAGTGTTATTTAGTATATTATATTAGTGTATTAGAAATTAAAATAATACATTTTTAATGCATACATTGTTTGGGGAAAAAATGTGTGTACTCGTTCACGTTTAGAAGATATCTCAGGGGCTAACTTTGGCTTAAACCGTGGCTTTACTACACAGTAAAGAGTACTCGTAGTTAACAAACATAAACAATGGCGTATCGAATCATGTTTTTCAGAAGCAATTGCTTCTGGTTCTGGGGGGTGGTGGTGGGTCATAAATAATTTGTTTGCTTCCATATGATTTAAAGTTTGCTACGCCACTGAACATGAATGTTATTAGTATGAAGTATGCACACAATCTATAATACATATAATACTTGCACTAATAACTATTAACTATTTTCTTCTTGCTGAAACTTTATGTTCAAAAACAATGACACATTAATAGTATTTTCAAGAAAATAATAATAGTAGTGATGGGAATAATCTATTGATTTTGATAATTGATATAAATAATAACAGTTAGACATATTACTATGTATTAAAATCAAATTAATCGAATCACTCATAGATAATAGAAGAATTATATAGATGCGTGAACAACCCACCCCTCCACCTAACTACCTAAGTTGTGATGTTATATAATATGTGTAGGTATATTATATTACATTATATTATATTATGCAGTATAAGCTATTAAAATGTGTTAATAGGTTTGACTGTATTTGCACTGAAAAGAAATTTCACAGAAATAGATTGTTTCAATTATTTATACAACCAGTTAAATAAATTTTAATTTTAATTAATTCAAATGAAGCATTCAGTCATTTGATTATTCATATTTCGAGTACTGATTTTTAAATTATTAGATTATACTTATTTTGATCACTTATCATTCGATTACTAATAATTCAACTATTCCCATCACTAGTTAATAATAAGTTTGATATTGTATAACTATGCTTTATTCATTATAAGAACAGACCATGCTATGACAAATCACTTCGTTGTTCGGGCATCCATTCCCATTACGACTGTCTCCGCAAATATTCATTATTATTAAATAATTATCAAATCGACCACCAGATGGTCTGGCATTGCTAACCTCAGTTGCGATGTGGTCTGCCCTTATTCTGAATAAAGTATAGTCTATTGTTGATTAAAATAATTTTTATTCCAAAAGTATAATAAAGACATGGATTCAATCTCTTATTTTATTTTTTGTTATATGATGCTGTATACTATAAATCTGGATCCTTAATTCTCATAAAAACAGCTAAAAACTTGTCTCCATTATTTCTTGTCACTTTTTTTCCTTCTTCTGAACTTGCGTACAATTTATCAACAACAGGATCATCTTTCTGTAGACAAAATTTAGTTAAATAGCCATATAGTTACAAATGTAAACAAACAAAATTACCAAGTCTCCATCTTCTACACGTTTAAATAGACCATGTTCAGAGAAATGCTGAACCATCCATTCATGCAAATCTTTCACATCTGTAACTGTATACACCAGTGCCTAAAAGTAATTACAATTATGTTTAAACATAAAGAGTTCAAGCAAATTAATGACAAACCATACTTCCTCAGCCAACACATAAGCGTACTCAGACAATGTAGTGTCATTGATGATTCTCCACTTGTGTTTGGATTTTTTGAAATGGGGGTCTGGGTAAAGAAAAAACATCTTGTTTATCTAAAAAAAAATAATTTTTTAGTACAGCAATTATCATATTATGATCTCAATCAACTGACTTGGCCTTTTTTAAAAAAATTTGGTAAGTATTTGATTGCATTAGTTCTTATACATGCTATATTGTTATAGCAATTGGGTTGGTTGGCTCTAAGTGCTTTAATCCTCTCGATGACATATTGAGATACTTTTACTCTTATCTCCATCCCGAGGATCATCGAATCCGGAAACATGGGCGACAAAGTAACTAAAATATTCAACAAAAATTGAATACATTTTTCAATTGATTAAACTGATAAGTACTTACCTAAGAGACCACCATACCCACATCCAATGTCCAACATTTCAACCCGCTTGTTATAAATGTTGGACTCTGTGTTTGTTACATCAGGGTATAGTGTGGACCAATCATAAGCCTCTGGGCAACTGGGGCTGTTTAAAAAATAAATATTATTAATTATTACTGAAATGATTGTGTATAAGTATACTTAAATAATAAAATTATATTTACTAATCAAAATCGTGATCGGCAATAGGATTTGAATGAGCTCTTTGCCTATAGTACTTTTTTTGTGGCAATGATAACTCTTGCTTGTCCGCTTCATCTTCGTTTAATGGTCGTTTGGTTTTCTCCATGGTCTCTATGAAATGTTATCCAAATTAACGGTAGTTTTATCTACCGATAACGTAGGTACTTTACCTACTGTAGTTTGTAGTTAACATAGGAATCTAATTCAATCTATATTAAAATCAAACAGTAATACGAACGTCACATCACTCACATGGCTCTGTCGGCTGTCCTGTGAAGATAACAGACTGACAACAACTGTTAACTTTGGCTATTTTTTCCGCTTCTATACCACTGATAAGAGACCGGTCTATACCAGTTATATTAAGGGGATTGGAAGCGGCGATTTTCTGTCTTTGTCTAACACACGTGCAACATAGAATTATAGACGTATTCTATTTCCAACGTACCGATTAATCTAGTGAAGCGATAAGAATTCTGAAAACAGATTTGAATTTGTCGTCAAGTCTACTTGAGATCGACTTTCCCACATTTTTGATATTTTGATTAAAACTTCTCCAAAAATTGAAATTTGCCCATTTTTTAATTACTCTTTTTAATATATCATTTTTATGATTTTTGGGGGATAATATCAAAAATGTGGGGAAGTCGATCTCAAGTAGACTTGACGACAAATTCAAATCTGTTAACAGAATTCTTATCGCTTCACTAGATTAATCGGTACGTTGGAAATAGAATACGTCTATAATCCTATGTTGCGCGTGTGTTAGACGAAGACAGAAAATCGCCGCTTCCAATCCCCTTAAGTTGCATTTACAACATTTATTTATTAGGGGCAATTTTGAATTTAGTAATAGTGTCTTGGCACAGTAAAGAAACCTATTCTGTAATCTTGATCCCAGAATTCCAGATGATATAATGTCTTAAACCTAAGATCTGTCATGCAAATCATAATTAATTATCAACAAATAAACGTGCACCGCGGGGAGCGGGATCTTCTGCTAAATGCTTTTCGTGGACAAAAATACGATCTACCCGGTGTGCACAACATTATATTGTTCCAGAAACGACATAATATAGGTACGATTTAGCAGTGCCGAAATGCCTGAATTTGGTTTAGCCATTGGACTCCAATGAGCTCTCGCGGTCGTATCAATCAAGCCCTAATATCACAGTGATTATAATAGTATACACTAATTATAACATATAGAAGTATATTTTATTAGAATATATAAATTATAATAAATTGAGTTGATTAAAATATTAAGATAAGATGTCTTATATTAGAATTAAGACTATCGTTGAGATCTATACTCAGTACTCACTAACAAGTAACAACAAAGCACATAATATAGTATAATATTAATAGCATAAACTTAATTCAACTTATCCAGGAGTCAGGTGAGTCTAATCATAGTATTTGAGAAATATATTGCGTAGTCACATCTTCTGTATTAACTAGTGACTTGCTATAATTTCCCGGTAATAAAAAGTGAGGGAATATTCCCCGGGAATATTTCCGGAAATTTTAATAAATTCCCAAATAATAATCCCAAAACTATAAATTTGAAAATTCTAGTAGGCAAGTCAAAATTAAATTATTCCCAATCCAAACAATGCCCAAATATAATAGTGGCTTGGTGTGACCTGCTAATGACCTCAAATTTTAAAGCCTTAACTTAATTAAAAATAAAATATAATTGACCTTATATTTTAGATTCTGAGTAGAACGATGAATGTATTGGTTTTACAATGATGTGTCTTTTTATATTTTTTTTATTTTTATTATTTTCATTTTTGTGTCTGTGTACACGATAAGTAGTCAAAATATTGCTTCGATTTTCAACTTCAGTATCTTGTTCGATTGGAAAGTGGATATTGTTGATGCATTGGGGAGGTCAAAATTCCCAGTAATTTTCAAAAGCACCAAGAAAAACAAAAGAAAAATTAAGTAAAAACGGGAATTTTTACGCTAAAATCGATTTTTCAGAAAATTGAATTTGGTTTTTATTGTAACTTTAAAACAAATGACCGTAGATACATGCAATTTTCACTGGTTGTTTATATTTTCATTTTCTATACACGATAACATTTTCGAAAATATTTTCATTTATTTTGAACTGTTAGGGACATTTTCAGCCTCCAATTTTATTAGTTTTTTTTCTATGAATGTCAATAAAACTTTATTTGTTGAGTAAACATACTTGAAAAAATAATACAAGGCTCCTACTATATTTTTTCAAAGGCAGACGAAAAATATTAAAAAACCTTAGTCACAGTTTTTTTTTTTATAATCATTTAAAGTTCAAAAGTTGATAAAATATGGAAAAATCACGAAAATTAGCAAATTATTTTGAGTTAAGAATTCGTAACAATTTTTCTTTTTAAATCTAAGATTTTAAAATTGAATACAAGATTCCTTATAAGATTATATACCTTTATTAAAAAAAAAATGTCTAAAAGAAAGTCAAATTAAATTTTTATGAGAGTTTGAAATTCAAATTTTTACAATATTGGACATTCACTCGATTTCTCATGTAGCGATTTCCTTATATTGTTATAATTCAAAAACGAATAACTGTAAATGTATGAAAATTTCACTGAATGTTTATATTAGCATTTCATATACACTATACAATTTTGAAAATATTTTGACTCTTTTTGACCTGTTACGGACATTTACAGTTTTAAATTTGCTTAGTTTTTTTTTCTATAAATATCAATAAAGTTTTATCTGTTATGCCAATAAGTGTAAAAATTTAATACAAGGATCCTGATATATTGTTACAATATCAGTTGAAAAATATTATAAATACATACTCACAATTTTTTTTATAAGCATTTAAAGATCGAATTTTGACAAAATTTATAAAATGTTCAACTTTTATATCTAAGGATTAAAATTTAAAACAAGATTCCACGTAAGTAGTTAATTCTGTTACCAAAAAATCTAAAAAATACATAAGCACAGTTTATTTTTATAGTCATTTTAAGTTTAAATTTGGATGATATTACATAAAAAAAAAACCTAGAATAACCATTTTAGTTATTTTGTTGTGATTGTATAATATTATTCGTGGATACTTGAAACTTCTAAAGTATACTACTATATATATCTATGATAGTTATATAGTATCACTGTTTGTTATTGATGTATAAGGCGTTATGAGTGCCTAATGGATATTGTGATATGATTAATTTGGAATTTATTATAGGTACAATTTTTTTTTTAATATACCATAGATAAGTAAATAATATGTCTTATACCTATACTCTTTTCAAAATAAGAACGCACCAGATTTAAGTAACAAAACCGGTTTTGTCCGTGGCCGCCTGGTTCCTTCTTATTCTGAAAAGAGTATAGACTGACATACCGTCTCCGCTCAGAATCGTTTTTCTTATACAATGATAGTATATCATTGAGTTCAAATTTAATACCATCCATTATACAATGACCAACTTGTAGAGCACCTTTTTTTTTATGTATTAACCCGCTGCTACTTAGGCCATTGGGTGGTTTTAACTGTGGGGGGAGGGTACTGTTGGTTAAACACGTGTGTTAGAAGTTTGGCAGATTTTTTAGTGGGCACCTGTAAGTATCTGCCATGCCCGGGTGGGGGATGGCGGCACTTCTCTCCGGAGACCGTGACTTGCCCAAAGAAAAATGCCACCCGCAGCCGAGGTAATGTGTCACCCACGCCTTAGTCTGCTCGGCCACTCCGTCCCCCATCTTATTATTATTTAGGTACTTTTAGTTTCTGTTTATCTGTGTACTTCAACATAGCCGATAAGATTAATAACTATTTGATACTTCATCATATAATATAATATACAAATATAGTTAGGTTAGTGTGTGCTTAACCTACTTGTTTTGCAGAAAATTATCTAAATAAACAAATACTATAATACATTTATGGAATTAAAATAGATTAAACTTATAAAAATGACTTTAAAGAAATAATAGGTACCTACTTTTAATTATTGTGTTAGTTGTACATACCTACGACTTCCACAATATTAGTGCATACCTAGCTACCTATGAATTTTATAATAGTAGTAGTACGCGCCTAAACTGTACTGTGCATGTAGCTGTTGAGTGTTTATATTGTATGTCTACATACTACATACATGTATAATTAATTAATTTAATGAACTTAAAGTAATTTGTTTAAAAGTGTTTTAGTTATGGAACAGTGGAAAGGTAAAGTAGCGATCGTAACTGGTGCCAGTGCAGGAATCGGCAAGGCAATCGTTGTCAAGTTGGTGAAATACGGCGTTCATGTTGTAGCGCTCGCTAGAGGAGAAGCCAAACTTAAGGTAATTTTTCTTAGGCATTCACGAACATACATTTTTTTAAAAACTGCATTTAAAATTAAATTATAATATTTTATAGGTACGATAATTTCTAAATAATAAGAACGAGGTGGTAGGTGAAGGATAAAAATATGAATGCAACTTATATTAGTTGTATAGCAATATAAATAATTGTAATTGTTCAGACGTATCTATATACGGTCTACAAAACATATAACATTGCCACATATGCATATAATATACATAATATAATGAATCATATAAATACAAAGCTGTAAAAACGGTTGACATTTTGAATACATACTTTTATACATTTCGTTCAAACTTTTGTAAATGACAAACGGGCCAAATAAATGTTGAAAACTTTTTCTGAGTGGAACTAGGCTTTTTCAAAAATGGTCAAGGTTTTGTTAATTATGGATGACGTTTTTTCGTTTTTTGAATTAGGTAAAATAAAATAAATAAAAAATCCTCATAAAGCTTTATTATATATGGCCAGGGTTCTTGGATTAAAGCATCTAAAATAAGCAAAATAAGCAATAAAGCAATTCCAAATAACAGTAACCCCCTCAAACACAAGAAATTTAAAAAATAGGGTTTCCGCTTAAGAATTTCATGTTTTTCCTAATATATTATAAAACACTAGGTATTTGTGCATGTGCCGATGGGAAAGAACAAAAAAAAATACCTAAGTAAAATGCATAAAAACAACCAAAATAAGCAAAAACATGCACTTTAAAATCGTAACATAAATACTAATATATGATATCAATAAATCAATTTCCATAGAACTCTTATAGATTTTAAGTCAAGCCAAGAAAATAACCAAATTTTACGAGTTCCGAAACTTGTTTATGACTTTTGACTTTAAAATTTAATGATATATTGCAAACATGTTTACTAATAATGTTTTTGGTAACAAATCCTACGAAAAAAAGTAAAAACATGTTAAGTTCATTTCAAATAGGCAGAAAATTAATTTTTTTGTTCAAAATCGTATTTAAAACTAATGCAATATAAATATTTAAATATTAACTGTAATTAGTGTAATTTACTATAGTTTACCAACTATACACCTGGAAATTATTTAAATATACAAGTAGTTTTATAAAATGTATTGAAGGAATTAGCAGACTCTCTTAATGGAAAAGGAAATAATCATGGTACTGTACACATAAAAGTTTGCGATGTGACAGATGAAGAAGCAGTGAAAAATGTTTTTTCTTGGGTCGATTCTACACTGGGAGGTGTTAGTATTTTAATCAATAATGCTGGGACCGCAATAGTATCAAGTCTTTTAAGTGAGAAAAATATATTTATATTTAATTGGTTTCTTTTTATTATACATTTTACATTATTAATTGATTTAATAAGATGGAAAACTGGAAGATTGGCAAGAAATGATGAATTTAAACGTGTTGGCATTGAATGTGTGCTCAAGGGAAGCTTATCAATCAATGACAAAAAATAAAATCGATGGTCATATTATTCAAGTGAACAGGTAAATGATGATAGCTAATGTTCAAAATTAATTTATTAATTAACTATGACTTGATTAAGATTTAAGTGTGCAAAATAATTACGTATAAAAAAAAATGTTTATAAAAAAATATTTCCAAATTAAAAAGACAATAATAAATCATACGTTTATAATATAGTGTTGCTGGTCATAGTATAACACCATACTTTGCCATGAAAATGAGCAACGCTACAAAACATGCAGTCCGAGTCTTATGCGAGGGACTTCGTCACGAACTACAGTTAGTAGGATCAAAAATTAAAGTGTCGGTATGTACAAACTACAAACAATCTGAAGCTCATTTTACAGCCATTCGTGTAATACGGTGTGTATCATACGCAGTTTTTTGATTTACATTAATCCATTATTTAGGTTCGTACGGGCACGATGGAGAGTATGTTTTCAAGCGCTCGAATTGGGGGGGGGGGCGCAGGGCGACGGAGCTCCCCTACTATTTTTTGTATGGTTTGTGTTGAATAACTGCGCTCTTTCAACGCAGTTTTGAAATCGTTAGATTGAGCTCCTCTACTTAATTTTTCCCAATTCGAGCACTGCTGTCGGCATTTATGTAGGTACAAACTTAAATAATGTAAATCGGAAAACCCAAAAACGTACCAATGCTGTGAAATGACCTGTATACAGTCTAATAATCAAGTCCATAACTTTCTTTATGTTTATAAAATATTTTAAATATATTTTAGAGCATTAATCCTGGAGGAGTTTCAACAGACCTTTTATTAGGTATTCTTGAACGTAGTAGAGAACCAAATACAACAATTCAAGTAAATAACATGGAAATACTTCAAACTGTAGATATTGCTAATGCAGTTATCACCACTTTAGCGACTCCTCCAACTGTACTTGTAAGTTATTTTGTTACATTATTCAAATATAGGTACCTACTTATAATTAGCGATGACAATATATTAATATCCAATAAGTGACAAATAAAAATAATTTTTATGTATCAACAAAACAACGACACAAATACAATATTATCAGTTTTGATAACCACAAACTAACAACGCTTATAATATTATGTAGGACTGGTATAGTCAGTGCCGTAGGAAGGATGTTTTTTCTGGGGGGCAGGGCCGTAGACACGGGGGGGTTTAGGGGGTTCAAACCCCCCCCCCCCTTGGAAAGTTTATAAATTTATTTCAAATATTTAAAACTACTAATATATCTTATATATTTAAAAAAAAATTTTTATCAATAATAGTTATTAATAATATTTTAGATGTTTGTGTTGTTATCGGTTATAACTTATAAGTAAGGTATTTTGTGTATCGTCTAATGGTCGCAAAGACAAATCACCATTACCAAAACCGTTTTGTTACTGTGATAATTGATAATCTTATTATATGTTCATGTTGATAATACTGAAATTTAAGATAACATATTAATAAGGTATTATCAGTATTATAGTTAAAACTTTAAAAGTTAAAACCGTGCTAAAAAAAACATAGATTTGAGAGAAATGATCAGTTTGGCCAATATCAGTATCAAGGTTCTTGACAATTCAAGGGAAAATGTAGATCATGAATTTAAAAAAATGTTCAAAGAAGCTCAAGTAATGAATGCCTTAAATTCAATTTTAATGTTAATTTTTTTAACTATAATTATATTTTTAAATAGAGATTGCCTCAGATGTTAGACTTTGAAATATCAGTCAAACAGCTGAAAAGAGTCAAAATATTTTCAAAATTGTATGGTGTATAGGAAATTCTAATATAAACATTCAGTGAAATTTTCATGTATCTACAGTTATTCGTTTTTGTATTACAACAAAATAAGGAAATCGCTACATGAGAAATCGAGTGAATATCCAATGTTGTAAAAATTTGAATTTCAAACGCTCTTAAAAATTTAATTTGACTTTCTTATAGACATTTTTTTTTTGATAAATGTAGATAATCTTATGAGGAATCTTGTATTACATTTTCAAATCTTAGATTTAAAAAGAAAAATTTTTACGAATTCTTAACTCAAAATAATTTGCTAATTTTCATGATTTTTCCATATTTTGTCAATTTTTGAACTTTAAATGCTTATAAAAAAAAATTGTGACTAAGGATTTTAATATTTTTCATCTGCCTTTGAAACAATATACTAGGAGCCTTCTATTAAATTTTCAAGCTTTCGCAACCAACAAATAAAATTTTATTCATATTTTTAGAAAAAAAACTAAAAAAAAATGGAAAATAAAAATGTGCCTAAACAGTTCAAAGTAAATCAAAATATTTTGAAAATGTTATCGTGTATAGAAAATGCAAATATAAACAACCAGTGAAAATTTCATGTATATACGTTTATTTGTTTTAGAGTTACACTAAAAACCAAAATCGATTTTTTGGAAAACCGATTTTGCGTAAAAATTCCTGTTCTTCCTTAATTTTTATGTTGTTTTTCCCGGCGCTTGTGAAAACTACTGGGAAATTTTTACTTTTGACCCCCCAAAGTACCAACTAGATTCACTTTCCTATCAGAAAAGCTACTGTTGCATGTAACAGTACTATAACATGTTATTATTATAATAAACCCCCCCCATATAAAATTCCTGTCTACGGCACTGCTTGGGGGGGGGGGGCTATAATATTTGCTAGGGCTAGGGTACTACAGGATTTTAAAAAAAATTATATTTTAATACCTATAATTTTTTTTCATTTATTTTCAATTTACTCATATAGATGAGAACTATAGGTATAAATGAAGTCAATTAAATAATTATAATCGTAACTAAAAGTTCAGATTTTACCAACTTTGATAATAATAATAATAATAATAAAAAAAAATAACCAAATAAATAAATAATCAAACAACTGTTTATAATTTAAAATCCAATCTTCTTTCTTTTTTTGAAGCAAACATATTAATAATTACTTCAGAATCAATATGGAGATCTCTGTGAATGTTCATTAACCATTTAGTCTTGTCTCACCTGTAGAGTTCCTTAAATAAGGCTTTATTCTTTTTAAAGTAGAAAAACTTCTTTCGACTGATGCAGTTGATACTGGTAATATAGATAAAATTTTTAAAAAAACATTTATGTTTGGAAACAGCTCTTCTGGACACTTTGGTAATGTATCCAAGGGATTTTTTGGAATACAATTTTTTTCACTTGACCATTTTTGTTTCCAAAATTCAAATTCATTTTCAAGTAATTTGTTATTTTCTATAAGTTATAACCAAATCTTCTTCATAAAATTAAATTTCTGGTTTTAAGTGGTTGAATGAAGAATTTCCAATTGTATTGGGTAGTATACTGCATGATAATGAAATAATAATATTAGAATTTGTTTGGAATCGTTCATTAAATGATGCAAGTATATCATATAAATATACATAACAAATTGATTGTCTGTAATAAGAAGCGTAGTCATTATTGTGTACTTGATAATTTTCTCGGTGCTTTTGAGTACCTACAACTCTTGGTATAACTGGAGTCTGGAATTACTCCAACGGATTTACCAATTTCACTAGCTTGATGGTAAATCTCAGTAAATGTTTCTTCGTTTCTTATATCTTCAAGTTTTTGAGTTGTTTCTTTTACAGACTCTATAGCAGTAATTAGATCTAAATTTTCCGTTTGCAAAAATTTTGAGATAAAATAAGTCAAGCCAAGGCCTTTTTCCATTATACATATTGTAATTATAAATGAAAAATCACATAAAGATTTATGTAAAGATGCAACAACTTTGTTATTATCTTCTGACATAATTTCTTCTAATGCACATACTATTTCATAAAAACCCTCAACAAAAATCAAGATGGGACTCTTGACGCTTCTAAAATATACAATTTCAGAATTTCCAATTTGATATTTCGGGGGGAGGGGGCTTAAGCCCGAAAGCCCCCCTAGCTACGGCACTGGGTATAGTCATAAATCATAATTTTTAAATACCCATACTTACATAGTTTTACGATTTATAAATTATAATGTAGCGACTACATTATAAATATTGTTATTTAGGTAGTAGGTACATAAGCTGTTACTCATTGCCCATTAGCCATTGCATATTATCACAAAGACTTTTAGCTGATTTACTATAATAATTAAGATTAAATTGAGGGACACCTATTTAACACATAAAAATAAAATAATAATGTTTTTAACACATTCGTGTATACTGTAGATTGCTGAATTGACCATCATAGCCAGTGGATCAACAATACAAGCACATTTTCAACCATCGGCTGCAGTAGTGAACAACTTATTAAATTCATAAAAATATGTATTTTATATAAGACGCAACTACATTATGTTTTTTTTTTTTGTATTACAATGGATGGGTTATAAATTATTAATATTGTTATTATAAATTACTCTAACGGTCTTATAAATAAAACATCAATTTAAAAAATAAAATAATGCGATGAGTTTTAAGTTTTAACTTGGTAGGTATACAGTTTTTTGTAAATGATAAATAATAATGTCTACTGTAGTCTGTGAGTAGAGATAAATCTAGTGATTTATATAGAATGTTAATGCAATTTAAATGTTTTTCATAATAATGTATTAATATGGTGGGTATTGCCGTATTGGCCATTGGGTAATAAATAGATTTAATATTTATTATATGTCTAAAATTGTATTTTTATTGTCTTTTATTTTATCTACACAGTTAGTGAGTAAATATGAAAGTTTAGAAATTAGAATATTTAAGTGATAAAACCACATTATGAGACATATTTCAATAATTAGTCTATATAGATAGGAATTTCCAAATTGGGTACATAATACATATAGGTACCTATTTTAATTAAATATAATTTAATTTAGTAATTGATACTACATAAAATTAAAAAGCAAAATTAATTTTTGGTGTGTGAAAATAGTAACTATTTATTTTCTGTTTTTTTTTTTTTTTGTAACCGATGTAAGAAATACTTAAAAGGAACTCTGCAGTATTGAATTATTAAGTTTTTGAGTTTTGACCTAGTAACAAAAAAGGTTCCTGAGTCCTTACCAACATACAGATCCATCGAAAATAAAATAAAAAAGTCAACAATATCATTATCATAAATATTGCGGTGACATCCTCTTAAGTAACATACAAATCACGAAGTAGAGAAGATATCTTCTCTACGTTGTGATACAAATGATTATAATAATTATAACATATTGTCACAACTTACAAGTCACCGGCCAATTATAATTTCGTTTATAATGATTTCCTCAGTATTCTCAGACAAGATTATGACGTATCCGTAGACCGTATTACGTCATACGTGTACCATATTATTATACCTATAATATGAGTATATCAGTATGTCATGACAATATTTTTGCAATAATAATTAATAAGTAAAATAACCCGGTGGTATGGGATAACTATGTATAGAAAAATAGACAATAGACATATTATGAAGTCGCGTATATAATGCAGTAGGTATCCGATCCAAAAACATCGATCATTAATGATGTACGATATTATATTAACTTTTATAGAAAACTGGTAAAATTAATACAATTTACTGTTATAGTTTGCAAGCGATGAAAATATTACCTAACTCATAGAATATGAGTGTGAAATGTTTGATTCTTATTTCGTAGGTATTATACCTACCTATCGTATAGTCTTATATATATAGTGAAAGTAGGCGTCTAGAGTTCTAGACCATATAATAATATTGTAGGCACTAGAGCCCGAAGGTTTCACGATCATATTGTACTTAACTGCTCAAGTAATATAGTGACACGAGAACGAGAGCAACAGGTATTGGTAACAAATATAATAATAATTACAGTTTTAAAATCACGTCTGTTGTAAACGGCTGATAGACTTAGGTACATGATTGCATAGATCATAGATCATATTATCCGATATCTGAAAACTGAAGGCAACGCATATCTATTACACATCAATATAATATCAAATATAAGCACTCACTTAACCTTCACTTTCAGAGGATTACCCCATTATGGGTATTATATATTACTATTAAATGCACCTAGCGGTCACGCAGCTCTCGTTGAAATCGAAATTTAAACAATAAGTCTGTATACAATTTAATAATAATAGGTAGGTATATACGCAAATAATGCTGTAAGGGAAACGTGATATATTTAATCGTTTTTTTCCCCACTATTCTTACAGCGAATTCAAATTAATTATATATAATATATGTGCTAGGCGTATAAATATTAAATAATTTATATGGGACATGGAAATATGGAATATCTTTTTTGTATATTACTAGCTCATTATTCTTGCACGGCATTAACCGTGACAAATTAAATGCCCGTGAATTTACCCCTTCTTAAACTCCGTTGTAGGTAATCTACTAAGACTTTTAACACAATTATTTTGGTTGTTTTTACCAAATATATAGTACGTAGGTCTAAAATTATATCCAATTATTATAAATATTTTATTATTAAATATTTTTAGTTTTGAGCTTCGTTTACGGTCGTATTCAGTTTCCAATTTTTTTGTTTTTTTTCTATACATTTCAACAAAATTTTATTCGTTGGGTCAAAAAGCTTAAAAATTCAATACAAGGCTCCTAATATATTGTTACAAAGACGGATGAAAAATATTAAAAATACATAGGTAGGTAGTCATAATTTTCTTTTTTTATATAAGCAGCATTTAAAGTACGAATTTTGACAAAATACGTGAAAATCACGATTTATTTATTATTTATTTTAGTATAGATTTCTCAAGGAGCGATTTTCTTATTTTGTTTTAATTCAAAAACGAATAATAACTGTAGAAACTTGAAATGTATATCATATATTATGTTTATTTTATCAATTCCTATACTTGATAAAATGTTCATTATACTCAAACCATTCATTATACAGTGACTATTACTTGAACCCTACTGGCTACTGTACGGTAGCAGAGCGGTATCCATTTACCCACCTTTTTTTTCTTTAAATGTCGATAAAAAAAAAGAGAATTACACCAGGTATAAAAAAACTGAAAGTTTACCTGTACTTACTATATTATATATAGTCACGATTTTCACAAGAGGCATAAATTAATTTTCCACTAGCGTATATTGACGCGTTTATTCATAATAAGCTATATATAGTTATAGTATAATATAATATAATATCAAATAAAAAAAAACCGTCCAAGTGCGTGCACGAAGGATTCCGTACCATCATCTATAAACATGTTGGCAACACTGCTTATATTACATAATATTCTAGGATTTTTAATATTTGTTGTTATAGTGGTTACAGAAATACATAATCTGTGAAAATTTCAACTTTCTAACTTTCATGGTTCACGAGATACAGCCTGGTGACAGACGGACGGACTGACAGCGGAGCCTTAGTAATAGAGTCCCGTTTTACCGTACGGAACCCTAAAAACCAATTAAATAGGTAAAATAACAATATTTTTTTTGTGAAAATCATAATAGGATTTGTAATATAACAATCTTATAATTTGGGTACCAATATTTTTTTTCAACTAGCTTTTGAACGGTTATAGCTCGATGACCGATTCGGTAATACCCGATTGAGCAGGGTCCAATTTTTTTTTGGATTGATACCTGCAGCTATTCGAATCACAACAAAATAAGCGTCGGACGAATCGCTATTCGTCCGTTTCCACAATGTGTGGCGATTGGGATTTGTTTACTAATTAAATTAAAATAAACATTATAATAATATTTATTTCTTAATTTATATTTCTACATTGTATTGATAGATATAAATATGATTCAAAACTTAAATTGTCTGCTTTGTCCAACTAGATCTGGGAGTTGTCCCACTGCGTGCTGCGGTTATACCTGGTCGCTTATATGCTTATATGCTAACGGGTCTGTCGCATCACACCAGCGAATTACAGGCTCGCGCCCCGCAGCAAACTCGAGTGCACTGCTGTTTGCACGATGAAGTTTAGTTCGTTTGTTTTCAAACTCTAAAGTCTCGATCGAAACTCTCGCCGGGACGTACTCGATGTCGGCCGAAGTAAACCGCATTGCGATGTTCGGCACCTAACTAGAACGGTGTCCGCGATATCTGCACGGCTTGACTGCTGCACGTCCGCTTGGGCCCGGCCGAACCTGCAGCGGCGACGAGACGGGCGGCGCGGCGTCTCGATCTTGACTTCAGCGGCAACATGTGTCATTATTGCCTCTACCGAAACCGTTCGCATCGAGTAGCCGACAGACGGTGGTCTGTCGATGAGGTCGGCTCCTGCGTCAAGGCGGCAGACGGCAACCCGACATCGGATGCATCACCCGCAGAAGACGTCTGCACCGCGATGTTCGGCATTGAACTGCAGTATCACCTGCAGCAGGACGCCGGACCGCCGAAATCACCTTGACTTGCCGACACGACTTTGCGGGTCGGGCCATTTCTTAGGCCTTAGCTCTTCGAAAACTCGGTACTTCGCGATCGATTCGGCGGACGGTGAGCAAATCTCGACTTCAGACGATGTATTCTGTACTGCAAGTGCAGCGATATTCGACATATTCATAGATATAATATATATTAATACAGTGTATATTATGAAAAGTGCGCTATAACTTTTAGAATATTATAATGAATTATTCGTATAGTGTTCGTATAATAATGTTCGTTGTATAACAATAAAACAGAAAAAAATAATAGGTATACCTTGTGATGACATAGAGACAAATAATGCAATATATTTGAAACAGGTTTTATAAACTTATGTCGGAATAAGTATATTAGTAAATTAGTTATTATTATTAAATGTTGATTTTAAATTTTTAAAAAAGTGTGCTAAATTCCCGGTTTCCAAACGTATTTTAAATTTAAATTTAATTTTAACTCATTAAGCTATACATATAATCCCATTTTGTAGGTACAATTAAAAAAAAAATATGGTAATCTTTATATTTTGTAACCTATTTGTTTGATATTGATTAGTATGAATTTACTTTGAATAGAACCGTTATAAAACTTAATTAGTAGGTATATATATACAAGCAATCGTAACTATTAACTGGTAACTAACGAACGGACACGACGATATTATGTTCTGTGGATGGATCCGATATCCATAGGTACCAACTATGGAAAACAAGAACAGGAATAATGAATTAATAGTTGTTTAAAGCTCAGAAAATAATTTTTCAAACATTGTTACTGAATAATATAGATTAGAATATTAGATAACTAGGTAATGAAAGACTTAATACTTAAATTAAAATATATACATTTTTAGATGGGCTAATTTTAATATTGATGAGGCTATCCCCGTCAAGCCTCCCTCCCCAAATTGCTCCTATGGGTATTATCTATGGACTATGACCTATAATATATATATGTATAATCTATTGCAAGTTTAACAGTTATTTATTTGTACTAAACAATAATTTTAGTGATATAGACATATAGTAAGTATTCCAATAATTCTGGATATTCGGTCTCAATTACTTTTTTAGAAGTTTGTTTTTGCAGTGATCAGTAGTTATTTAAAGAATTATGATAAATCATAGATTAAAACCATCATATGTTATGTCACGAATTCACGAAAATAGGCTTAAATTATTTTATAACTTTTTAACTTCATTATTCATTAATCGATTTAGACACTTAACACTCTGTTATACTTACTCTCTACTTGTATAAAGTTTATATCTTTGTTATATTAAATATTGACCATAAGGAGATCAATAATCAATAATATTTTTAAAAAAATATAAGAAATACTTTAAGTCTAAAATTAATACTAATCAAATTCTGCCTTAAAAGATTCTTTCAAAGAATGGCTTCCTAGCTTCACCTTCCTTTATTTCTATGTTATTTATTATTTATTATGTAATAATTATTAATTATCCTATATTTTACTTAGATATTGTGCTTAAAATACTGATTGTAAGTTTTTCACATAAAAAAAAATTAATAGCAATAATACAGATAAACTAGGTAACACGTATGATTTTAGATGATAATTTTATTTAACTCCAAGATAAGATGGGAAGAGAATGTGTAACTTTCAATTACAAATACTACTAGTTAAATAAATAAATTCATCGCTCCACTCAGAATCTAGAATAAAAACAATGTATTTACTATTTTTTGAACATTATTTTGAAACGTTTCACTGATGGTGTAAAACCCCAGAATAGGACAATGGTAAAACGCAAATTTTCTTTTATCAGAACATCTACCTAAATACCTAATTATTTTTCAAGGAAATATATAATAGGTATATCGTATAATATACACGATAACATCGATTCAATAATTTTCCATTGTATTCAGTATTCAGTAAATAATATTGTTGTTTTGGAGGTTCGTCCGCTCGCCTTATAACATAATATAATATATAAAAGGTGGGCAAGTGGGTGTTGCTCTGCTGTACAGTATAGGTTACAAGTGGGTCACGGGTCACTGTAATGGATGGTGTTAAATTTGAATTCAATGATATGATATTATTGTAGAAGAAAAACGATTCTGAGCTAAGATGGTCAGCCAGCCTATGATAGTAGGTACTAAGTATATTTGATGATATTATTGTGAATAAATTAATTTATATATAACCTATTTACGTGGAACCTTATTTTACATTTTCAATCCTTAGCTATAAAATTTGAACATTTTTAAAATTTTTAACTACAAAATAATTATTAAATTATAAATTTGATAAATATTCAAAATTCGAACTTTAAATGCTTACAAAAAAAAATTGTGCCTATGTATTTTTAATATTTTTCAACTGCTATTGTAACAATATACCTATCAATAGTCTTGCATTAAATTTTCACTCTTTTTTACCCAAAAAATATAATTATATTAATATTTATAGAAAAAAAAAATTGAAATTTGACATTATCCGTAAACAGCTCAAAACGAGTCAAAATATTTTCAAAATGTTATCAAGTATATAGGAATTGATAAAATAAATATATGATATAAATCTCAAGTGTCTACGGTTATTCGTTTTTGAATTACAACAAAATAACAAAATAGCTACATGAGAAATCAAGTGAATATTCAATCTTGTAAAAATATGAACTCATAAAAATGTAATTTGATTTGCTTGTAGACATTTTATTTTTGATAAAGTAGACAAGCTTATGAGAAATCTTGTATTACATTTTCAAATCTTAGATTTAAAAAAAAAATTTTTTTTTATTCTCAACTTAATATAATTTTCTAATTTTTGTGAAATTTCGGTATTTTGTCAAGATTTGAAATTTAAATGCTTATAAAAAAACACTTGCAAAGTCAGGGATCGGCATGTAAACTTTCTTGATTTTTAATTTTTAGAAATGTATTAACTGATATCACACCCAAGCATGTATAACAAAAAAATTGAATCCAGAAAAATGTCCGTGTGAACAGCCCCACAAAAAATCATTTTCATTTTCATTTAGTGAGATAGATCTCCTAAACCAAAGAGCTGATTTCATTGTTTGGGGTCTATTGTTAGTTTCACATTGGTTAGGAGAAGTGTATTTAGTGAAGATTTTCAGAACTTTATCTTTAATAGTTAATTCACTACAGAATATTAAAACAAATTTTATTTCCCGTTTTTTGATGTTTTTCAGCTTTACAGCTTTGTAATAAATTAACGATTGGAGATAAAGTTCTGAAAATCTTCATTATATACAGTGTATATATACACTTCTCCTAACCAATGTGAATCTAACAAGATCCCAAACAACAAAATCCGCTCTCCGGTTTCGGAAATCTACCTAGCTAAATGAAAATCTAGCAAAAAATAACTCTTTTTTTACTTGATAATCCTTTTTTAATGAGTTATCAACCAACTTTCTAGCTATCATAGTTTAGGGGAAAAGTTAAAAAATAGAAATTTTGGGACTGTCACGCCGACGTTTTTATGGATTCAAGTGGTTATACCGCTTGGGTGTAATATCAAATCTCTCTCATTAATATTTTATATTAAAGCTAGCTAAATTACCCACCTACTCATCATTACTGGGTTACATTTTTATTATTTTCCTATTAAACACAAATTCTTGAAGTTTTCAAAACTTATTTCATTTCAATTACCATACTTACTTGATTAAAAATTAAGAAAGTAAAACTGTGACTAAGGATTTTTAATATTTATTAACTACAACTGTAACAAATAACAATGGACTTGTTTAAATTTTCAAGCTTTTTACCAAACGAATACAATTTTATTGACATTCATAGAAAAATAAAGAGAGCTCAAAATATTTTGAAAATTTTACCGTGTAGGTACTTATAGAAAATTTATAAACGTTTTTTTTTTTTTTTTTTTTTTTTTTATTGAACAAACAATATATTTACAATCTGTATTTACAAGTGATACAATAAGTAAATGGGATGATTTTTGGTAAACAGGAGGGGGAAGTCACCCAGTGGCGGCACCCCGTAAGAAAATTTATAAACGTTATATTCATTTAACGTTAATTTTTTAAAGTGTGACACCAAAAATCAAAATCGATTTTGTCGAAAATTATGCAAATATTCCCATTTTCTCTTAATTTGTATGTTGTTTTTCCCATAGCTTTTGAAAACTATTTGGGAATTTTTACCTCCGGAATGCACCAACTAGATTCACTTTCCTATCAGAAAAAATACTGTTGAAGAAAATCAAAGTATTATTACTACCCCAAACAGGGATGACACAAACAAAAAAATTTAAAAAAAAAACACATCATTGTAAAATCAATACATTATTCAACACTCCGCTCAGAATCTAAAATTATGTTTCGCCAAAAGTACTTACTCCCTCGATCATAAGAATTATAGCAAATAACGTTTGGGATTGGAGCCCAAATGTGTTTAATAATTAATTCTTCTTTAATTAATGTTTTAATACTGATCTATTGGGCGTATTATAACAAATCATTTTTTTGTTGATATTGTAGGTATTTAATTTTTTCAATTTTTACTATACAGGAATAGGTTAGGTTAGGTTAGGTCTTAGGTTGTATGTAATTATATTTTTATTGATTGATCATTTAATTTTTTTACGTTCAATTGTCCCCACTTACATTTGCCTTAGATCGGGCAAAGGTACCTACTACCTAGCTATAATTATTTTAATCCTAAATGGACAGATACCACTATACCAGTATACCACTACTTACCTTCATAGTTTCAATCAAACAGGTATAATTTAGTTTATAAAGATATGATTATTTAACTATTTTAACTATACAATAAAGTTAATCTAGTTCTTAGTATACTTAACAGCATTTAATATAATACTATTTTATAATTTAAGCTAACTCTATACCTAATACAATATAATATATATAGTTAGTTTAACTATACCTATATTTCCAGTTAATTGCGATTATTTTTTAAATATTTTTCCATCAAGTATTGTGTAATGATTAATGTATCTACCTATGTTTGTATATTGATGTAGCCAATAGCTATACATCTATATAATCTATATACTCAATAGATATGAGGTACCTACCTATATTCTTAACATACATTATAATATGCACGTCACGCGTTATATAATAATATGATATACAATTATATTTCATCTCATAATACTATATAGGTATTATTATCATGGGAGTATCGCATATAACATAGTATTATATACCTGGTTAGAAGTATTCGATTCACACGCACGACATCCCGACCCCCGTCAAACGTGTACGACGTACACTAAACCAAATACCTATATATTATATTTATATAATAATATTATTTTAATAAATTAAATAGGTATATATATATAATAGTATGTAACAACAATCGCCGAAGGAAAAAAAACCCGTACATGGTCATACGACAAACACACACAGACTCATATTATACACCTTTTTTAGGAGGCCGACCCGATGTTTACATCACGCGTAAAGAATGTCGCAAGACCTTTCCCGCTGCAGAATAACGTCGGATAAGTCTTGGGTTAGGAGGTGCACATAATGATATAATATACGAACGTCTCTCCGTCGGGACCATGTCTTATTAACGAGCGCACATGGACTCAGTCGTGTCTAGCCGTTTTACGCGTACACACCAAGAACATAATATAAATAGGTACCTAGTATAATACTATTATAGTCGAACTCCACAACACAAAATCAACAGCGGAAAATCGCGGAATACAATAATTTGGTTCCTACCGTATAATACACTTTTTAAGTACACGAATATTTTGAACACTGCGTGCGGAATCAAAATGTCTTTCAAAACGATAATCGCTGTTGTAGCGGTAGTCGCGATATGCTGCAGCTGCAACACTGGAGCTCTGAAACAGGTAAAACGCGCATTGATATACTGCCTGTATTGTTTTATTTTCTATTATTAATACTAGCTTTCGGTATAATTGGGTAATTCATCAATTAGTTTGATTATACATCACCTTTATACATGTTATATCGGTATGATTATATGTTTTTTAAGCTCAACGTTGACTTTCAGTATACTATTTAGTATTTATATGAATACACTTACACAAGTGTCGTTAGTTAAAATTTTAAATGTACCAACCTGCACATACAATATCGTAGAAAAACTACGAAAAAAACCAAAAGATACAAGTGTCAATATGGCATATATTATATAGTACAAAGGCAGCATCATTATATGGGTAAGATATGTCATTTTTATAGGTCAGCCATTTTTTAAGGTACTTCGTTTAGATTGCACTTTATATGCAGCCATCTAGAACAGTATAGATAATCTGTATATTATTCTGATAAGTGATAACCTTTAACTCTACACTCAACAGACATTCGCATCAATCAATAAACTAAATTTTGTCGAATGGCAACTCCTTAAGACTCCAAAGAAGAGTGAGAAAAACTCAGAAAACTCATATGTAATTTTATTGTAATTGCACATCGCAGAATTTGTTGATGAGGCGTGTGAATAAAAATAACATTGCTGCACAGTAGCCAGTAATGCTAGTTTCTAATTTGTATACATTGTACTGATCGCGTTATTATTTTTCTGCACACAGAGACAAGCGTATACCGGCTATTCCGATGGATACACTCAGAACCACAAGGACGAGAGTCACCAAGATCTGAGCAAAGTGCCAGGCACACCTGGAGTAGACTACCCAATTTACCACGCGGTGCCGGAGACTAGTTTTAACTGCAAAGACGTACCGTACGCACCCGGCATGTACGCCAATGTGGAGACCGGATGCCAGGTACAGTGGCTTATTAATTATAAAGTATTGGGGAACATCTGATTTAATATTTCAAAGAGTAGGTACGACTATGGTATAGGTCGAAGGTGTTTACAATTTAACTAACACCGCGATCAACCATAGGTATACAATTTACAAATGGATTGTATATACATACATGTAGGTATACGTAATGTCATTAATTATTGCCTTGCACAATCACAATTTCGTGCGACGATTTCAATATAATACAATAATTGAATAGTAGTAACGGTAGGCACCTATTAAAACGAATTTGTTTAACTAACGAAAAAAATCTAATAAGTAATGTGCTTCATTGCAAAAGAGTCGAAAACCCGTTTTTATGAAGACGTCATGACTCGTTCAATGAAACTTACTTCATTCTTATATGCAGAAATACGCGTAATATAATAATATGTACCTATTCGATATGCGAAAATTACATTTGACCCACATTTAATAGAAAACCGCCTCACAATAGGCAATATCATTATATTATTATAAATTATACATTTATTCATATTGGGTAATTGGCATTTGGCAATAACATATTATAGAGATAGTCCTGTAGAGTGAAGAGAAATAAGAAATGCAACTTTTTATCGTCACGCGTTGCCCTGTTGATATTATTATGATAATAATATAAGAGAACGTCTTTTAAGTACCGAAAAGAAAAGTAAATTCAAACAATTTAACCTCGGAATAATCGTATTATTGCTTTTTTTTCTCTAAACTGCTGAAGATTAATTAATATTCTCCTACGTTATGTTTAAATATTGACTTTATGCAATCATACTCTATGGTATATAAATATAGTATAAGTCATAAATATTAATTTATCACAATGACTAAACAAATTCGTCTTAACAAAAGAATTACTATAAGTTATAACTACAGCTACATTTAGTAGATAGGTTCTCTAGTTGTAGACTTATGGACAGGTAGGTACGTAACGCAAGTGTGCAACATAAACTACCTATATAGTATTAGTAGGTATATAATATATCCATTATTCCATCTACCCATCTACCTTTTATCTACTTAAAACGATGATATAAATAATCGGGAGATGGTATTTTGCGCAAAAATATAAAAATTAATCATGTACTTGACGCCACCTATAAAAATTGATTTTGGTAATTTGCTCCACGACGGAAAACCAAATGGAATATCGAATATGTAATCTGCGCCACACTTTCAATTTTAATTGTTGGAATTTACTAGCAGATAAATTTACATGACATCGCATCGAAAATACGATAGTACCAACGCGTGCCAGGATATAATATTATTGTTGTGTTCTACTAATAATAAGTAGAGAAGAGATCGATTAAAAATAAATCTAATAAAAATTATCAACTGTCAAAATATCGAACAATATTGAACAGCAGTATGTCCAAACCTGGGCACAAACGAGTTAAAAAGTTTAAGTCAAACAATCATTATACACTACTATTATACTACCTAACTATACTTTGTAATTAGTGCCATAAGTCGTAAGAGGTTTTATTATAATAAATTTAAGTGAAATTTTGACCCTAACAAATTTATGGCATAACACATTTTATACATAGATATTATACATTTTAAGTTATTATATACATTTAATACAGTCATGTGCAATCTGTCATATCTGTTAGAATTATTTAAAATGTACTAATATTTTACAAAAAAAAACTAAAATATCAAAAATACTTTTTATAGCTGTTAATGGCTCATTGTACTAATTTTAGGTATAATTAAGCATAATCAATCAATGGCATTTAATAACTTAGCCGGCCTTTTCGCATTGTGTTGGTGTGCATCCGGTCTAAGTAGATAGGTACTGGAAAATAAAAGTATATTAAATTATTAATTTGATAATTTAACTTTAAAATAATCGTATTATCATATTTTTCTTCAAACCAATGATGATCAAATACCTAGGTATTCAATTTTTTCCTTTTTCTCGATCATCCGTCATCTCGATCGTAGGTTAGGTTAGGTACCTACCTATTTTAGATTTCGGGATCAATACATAATATGTATATAGGTACATATTATAAATGTATAATTTTTATTAGTTTTGTATTTTAATATTTATTATACGATCTGTAAATACTTATGTATTTATACAATAAGTATATTAAGTGATGTTAGTATTATCGGGTTGTAGTCTTGAGGGAAGAATCTATTGATGGAACTTCATGGTAGTGACTATAGTGAGATAGATGTATACAGGGTGTCCCGTGAGGATTTACTCATTAGCCGTAGAGGGGGACTCGCCGCCCGGACAAAAACCAGTTTATTGACGTTTTACTAATAAACTAAAAAAATTATTAAAAATCATGAAATTAATGAAAATAAAATGTTAAAAGCTCAAAATGTTCACAAAAATATACTCTATACTATAGAGTCTATAGAATGGCTATCTTCAATTTTTTCAAAAATAAAAAAATAAAAAAATAATTTTTTTAACTTTTTTACTAAAAAATTTAATTTAATTAAAAAATAAAATATTTGTAGTGCTTACCTCTGCGAGTCTTAATAAAAAAACATAATTACGATATCTCCATTATTTCAGGAGATATCGCAATGAGTAAATCCTCACGGGACATCCTGTATAATAATATTATACCATTTATGACTATCCATTATGATTTATGGACAATGACTAGAGTATGAATTAAAACATTTTAAATCGTAATTTATGAAATAGTATTAAACATTAATAGTTATATAGAGAATTCATTATACAGTTTTTCAGATACCTATCAGATTAATAACATTTTATATATTTTAGGCTTACCATATCTGTCACGACGGTCGTGAAGGTCATCAGGGAGCATCTTTCTTGTGCTCCAACGGCACTCTGTTCAATCAAAAAGAATTTACCTGCGATTGGTGGTACAACGTTGACTGTAGCAAGGCGACATATTATTACGAGTGAGCATATTTTCTTCATTTTTCATCATCGATTTCAAAAATAATATTCAATTTATTCCAATTACCTTTTAAAACTGGCCGAAGCCATGAAAGGGCTATATTATAAGGTATACCTACTTATATATACCTATATATATTTTTTTTTTAACTTTTAGACTTAACACGGACGCAGCAAAAAATCCATTCGTCCCAAAACCAAAGGCAACCGAGGAACCGTACAAGCAACCATACGACAATTATTACCAGAATCCAAAGTATTATCTGTAAATGCATTTATTATATTATTTAAACACATGTTTCTTTTTATGTAAATAAGGTGTAAATTGTTTATACATACTAATAAATTTTACAATAATAATAAATAATATATTTATTATTAAATTATTATATTTATGTAATTATTTATCCAGTGACTGGTAGGCACCATATTCATTAGTCAATGGTATTAAATATTACTAAAAATTATATACCTACACTCATACTATTTTCATTGTAACATTGTAATATATTATAATATAAGCTTCAGCAGTCCCGACTCCATAGGCGTAAAATAGGAGGAGGGTCTAAGGGGGCTTTAGCCCCCTTTCGTACATTTTGGTTTCTGAGTGGAACTATGAATGTATTGATTTTACAATGATGTGTGTTTTTTATTATTTGTCTGTTATCACGGTTTGGGGCAATAAAACGGCTTCGATTTTCTTCAACAGTATCTTGTTCGATGGGAAAGTGATTCTAGCTGGTGCATTTGGGAGGTCAAAATTTGAAATTCCAAATAGTTTTCAAAAGTGACGGGAAAAACAACATCAAAACAAGTTCAAATCTTGACAAAATACGGAACAATTAGAAAATTATTTTGAGTTAAGAATTTATAAAAACTTTTCTTTTTATATCTAAGATTTGAAAATGTAATACGTCATGATGCCTCATAAGTTTGCCTACCTTTAACAAAAAATAATATCTACAAATAAATCAAATTAAATTTTTATAAACGTCTGAAGTTCACATTTTTACAACATTGGATACTCATTCGATTTCTCATGTACCGATTTTCTTATTTTGTTTTAATTCAAAAACGAATAACCGTAGACACTTGAGATTTATATCATATGTTTATTTTATCAATTCCTACATACTTGATAACATTTTGAAAATATTTTGACTCGTTTTGAGCTGTTTACGGACAATTTCAAATTTCAATTTTTTTTATTTTTTTTTTTCTATAAATATTAATGTAATTATATTTGTTGGGTAAAAAGCGTGAAAATTTAATACAAGACTCCTGATATATTGTTACAATAGAAGTTGAGAAATGTTAAAAATACATAGGCACAATTTTTTTTATAAGCATTTAAAGAATTTTTGAACAAAATTTATCAAATTTATAATTTTTTTTTTTTATTGTAGTTAAACATTTATAAAATGTTTAAATTTTATAGCTAAGGATTGAAAATTTAAAACAAGGTTCCACGTAAATGGGTTATATATAAATTACTTTATTCACAATATTATCATCAAATATACTTGGTACTATCGTCTATCATAGGCTGACTGACCGTTTTCGCTCAGAATCGTTTTTCTTATACAATGAGATTATACCGTTGAATTCAAATTTAACACCATCCATTACAGCTACCCACTTGTTACCTACTGTACAGCAGAACGACATCCACTTGCCCACCTTTTTAGAATATATGTTGTTTACCAGAAACATAATAGACTATACACCCCCCAACCATACATATACAAATTCATATTCATCACGAAACACCTATGCACAGCTCAAGAGGTAGCCGTAGTTTTTAGATTTTTTAAAACTATAAATTAAATTATAATTTTTTAGTTAACATAATTTATAATTTTGTATAAAAATACAATATAGATTAAATTAATAAATTTTGATAAAAAAAAAAAGGAACGTTTGAATTATCTGGACACTTAATTTTAGTGTTTAATGAAATAGGTAATGATTTTTTTTAACAAAAATTGATTTATTGCAAATAACATAATACCTAATCAATGCAGATAATTAAATCTAAAAAAAATTGACAATTTATTTTGTTTGGTTTTATTTATACTAACCAGGGCTTAGCACCCAAATCATTTCGGGTTTTGGGGTTGCTGGATGCCTGGATGTATTCGGGTGTTTAAACACCGGAATAAAAAATTTAAACAAACGTTCTTGATTTTGTCTACTGCACTATTTCTCTTAAGCCGTCCCTGGACCCTGAGCTTAAGTTTCAAAAATAGTGCAACATCAGTTCCCTCAATCCTAAACAATGTACTTTTAAACATACTGTAATTCTATTTTAATGTCGATACTATAAAAAAAAAAAGTTGCTCTGTAGGTTACAAGTGGCCGGTTACTGTATAATGGATAGTAGTAAATTTGAATTCAATGATATAATATCATTGTATAAGAAAAACGATTCTGAGCGGAGACGGCATGTCAGTCTAGGTATAAGACATTATATACTTATCTATCGTATTAAAAAAAATTTACCTAAAATAGGTACCTACCTATAATAAATTCCAAATTAATCATATCACAATATCCATTTGGTACTTATAATGCGTTATACGTCAACAACAAACCCTGATACTATCACAGTCCATACTCCATAGATATATAATAGTGTACTTTAGAAGTTTCAAGAACCCACGAATAATATTACACAATCACAACAACATAACTAAAATAGTTATTCTAGGTTTTTTTTTATGTAATTTTGTCCAAAGTTGAACTTAAAATGACTATAAAAATAAACTGTGCAAAATAAATCAAAACATTTTGAAAATGTTATCGTGTATAGAAAATGCTAATATAAACATTCAGTCAAAATTTCATGTACCTACGGTCATTTGTTTAAGAGATTTTTCGAAAACAAATTTTAGTGTAAAAATTCCCGTTTTTCCTTAATTTTTATTTTGTTTTTCACGTCGCTTTTGAAAACTACTGGGAAATTTTCACTTTTGACCCCCCAAAGTACCAACTAGATTCACTTTCCTATCAGAAAAGCTACTGTTGAAGAAAATCCAAGCACCTTTACTGTCCTAAAACGTGATGACAGACACAAAAGAAAAAACACACATCATTGTAAAATCAATACATTCATTGTTCCACTCAGAATCTAATATGGTTAAATTATCATCAACATTAAATTTAAAACTACATAAACACATATTTTTTTTCTTACGTGGTTTGTATACTAGATGAATAACTTTAGTCTTTAATTAACCTAGCCCCTAGGGCCTAGTTAACTTGTACAAATGGCAAGAAATGCAATAGTCGCATTTTAAGAAAAATGTAATAACTGTTTAGCTTAGAATTTGTGGTTTTTGATATGGCTACTATTGTGAAGACTAAATACATAAGCTGTGAAAAATATTCTAAGTATCTTCTTAACCCAATATTAATCACTTTTGTGTTCAATATGCCGTTAGTTGCTACACTGCTACAGTCTTCAATCTTTTCAATCTTCTTTTTTTTGGGACATTGGCTAATTAACATTTCAAATACCTGCCTTCAAATAATTTTATTTTATTCATAATTGTATAAATAAGTGTATTATTATCAATTTTGCATACATTTTATATTTTTATAAAACCATTTTTAAAGACGATTTACCCTTAGTATAAACATTTTAATAACTGCTAAACTACCAGTTTGATTATTGAATTAGGTATATCAACATTTTCAAAAAAATTATCTACTAAATAATTTATTGTAAAAAAGGGGGGGTTCTTATTTTAAAAAACAAGAGTTTGTATCTCCACAGGACACTTCTTAAGTAGTACAAAAAATGGTCTTATATTATATAAGAGTACCTATATTATATTATATTACCTATATTTCAAAATTTCAAAAATCAGAATTTGAAAAAAGACTAATAGGGGTGAGCATGCTTGATGAATCGCCCGGTATATGAGAATTTATGGTATAAAAAATTGACAAGTAAACAATAAAATAGTAAAACTACAAAAAATTATATTCATAAAATCATAAATAGTAATAACAACAAATTAATGAAAACATGATAATTTAACGGATGTTGTGTAATAACACATTTAAAAATTATCAACCTTTCTAAATGAACAAAAAATTATTGACAATATTATAAAATAGTGAAATATGATTAATTAAAATATATTATACTTAAATACAAATTACTTATTAAAGAAATATTTTATTTTATCAACATACATTGATTGAACATAATTATAATTATGTTAAAGTATACATTTAAGTATAATATATTAAGTACAACAGGTACGACTTAAAAAATGTTTTCATCACAGGTATCTAATTAAGAAATCTTCACTTTGTGTTAAATTACATTGGCCTAATTATTTTGGTGAATAATTTAGGTTTTTGGAAATATAAAAAAAAAATAAATATTTTTATAACAGTAGTTAATCAAAATTCAACAACATACTGGATATAATAATCGCACTGTGTCTTTGGTGCTTTAGTCATTATTTTTAAAACTAAGACATTGATGTCTGAAATAGGATGTATAATTTTGTTTATCAAATCCGAGAATGAATTATAAAACATCGGATGTTGAGAGTTTTCATAAATCCCCTCTCGTTTCCTGGAATATCTTCTATAATCGCAGTTAAATTTCAACGCCGTGTTCAAATCGTCCTTATGAACGGCGTGAAAAACAGTATTCTGCAATAAATTTTCAATTAAAAACAATAATAGGTACAATAGTATAACACTGTATAAGACAAAAATAAATTACTATCTAGATTTAAAATAGGCAGATTTTGTTTTTCTTTACAAACATGCAGTTCATATTTTACAATTGGTTCTATCAAAATGCCTGTTTTACTTCAAGCACTCATCCCTAAGTCTCGACCTTAAAAAAAATTATTCTTCAACAAAATTGCAAAAAACATAACCTGTACATATTAACCATAGAATGTGGTTGTATACACTATGGTACAATAATAGATGCAAACAACAAAGAGCATTTTTTTAAAGAAATTTTTCTTTAAAAAAATTTCTTGATATTATTTTATTCAAATTCAGTTTTGCTAAAATACATTACGCAATTAATTTATTTGTTTTAAATAATAATTTATTAGATAAAAAAAACTATACTATTAACAAACCTACTACCTAGGTAGGCGCTTAATACATTAATACTAGGTACAATTAGGTACTCCTCTACATTTAATGATATCCTGATAACCGTAATCCATGTATTATCCACGGTCCAAACCAGAGACAGATCTAGGCAGTGGCATATTTATATGCAGGCACGTGCCTACAGCGGCAAATTTTTCAAGGGATTTCATTTTAGTTATTATATTCTTTTTCTGTTATTTTAAAATATTATATATAATATATAGCCACAAGTCACAACAGCCAACAAGTACCAAGTACTACAAAAAATTACATCTTTAAATCTTTGAAAAATAGTTGAATTTGCTGAGAAATAGCAAAAAATGTACCCGAATGTTTTGGATAATACTTTTTTGTCAGAATGCTTACATTTGCAACCTTATTTACTAAATAGTGATATCGATATTAACATAAATATTAATATATTAATATATAATTAACTCCAATCACACTGTGCCAGTATTTGAGAGAAAAATCTTTACATATAGGTACATATTGAAATATTTCCAAATATTGACACAACATTGAGAATTTTGGGAGTGTACCAGTGTCCCATACCCCAGTTGTACTACTGAGAGATCGTTTTCATGCCTGAAAAGCGTAAATAACTTTAAGATCTACCCAAACTGATGACAAGTTGAATCATTTAGCATTGTTATCGATAGAGAATGAAATGTTAAGCAAATTTAATTGCGAAGATTTAATTGACATCTTTTCAAGAACCAAATGTTGACATAAAAAGTTCATCAAATAAGTAAATGAGTAATTTATTATGTAAGAAATTTAGATTGTATTTTGTGTAGGTACCAAGATTTTGTTAGTCCTTATTTTTTTTACTGTTTTTCAACTCCAATTGTTATTTTTTTGTTTTTAAAATATAAATAAAATTTGTTTTGCATACCAGCAACCATTTTATTTTATCGTACTTAAGGGCGCCAATTTTCCACAGGCCTACAAGCGGTAGATATATACTTACACCTCTGGATCTAGGGCTAGCCCTACCACAGTACCACCTCCCCCAAGACCTACCGTTGCAACAGTATCCATGGATACTACCATTGTCCCATTGGTTATAAAATATACTGTATTTATAATCAACGTACCGACACTTGTTGTAGTATTTCAACAAAATTTTAGCCCCCCCCCCCCCCGATCATTGGATCCGTGTGTCCAAATCCGAATACCCACACAAAGACACATAATAGCACAGTATGAAGATTGAATACCGGAAGTTTTTGCATGTATGTACTTACTTCATAAGTAGAATTAAGCATTTCACGCCTCAACATGTACCTTCCATACTGAAACGGGTTCTGCACCCTTGAAATCTGACTGATGTTAGCGCCATAAAACATGGATTCGACCGACTCGTATTCACCAGCATTTTTCGACCTGCATAAAATGACTTCAAACACAGTGCTAGTTTTGTACGAGACATTTGTGTCCCAGTTGTCCGGTAAATGTGTCAAGACAAATGACAACATTGACTGCTCCATATTATTATTCGCGACTATATTGCGTATTTGCGTTTCGAAAATCGAAATTCGTCGGTCAGGTAAGGCATTAGTCGGTAAACGGACGGTTGCCGCTCAGCAATCGTCGACGGATTGGCGACAGCCGACGAGTCAACGAGTGACGACGAAACTATTAATTAAAACATTTAAAATACTAAATAGTGGTGGGGACGGGGATGGGGAGACGATTATTCGTCGACACCGCGGACGTCTCCAACTCTCGTGGCCCAAAATAAATATATAAATAACTATTTTCAATTTAGTCTGGTAAACACGACCGTTTATTATTTAATGCGGCCACGCCTTCGTCGTTTTGGGAAAAACCCCGAGACATGAGAAGTTTTTGTGTGTATGTCTGTAGTTTTGTACAAGGACGCCATTATGTGTATTGTGTTGACAGTGTCACAGAATGTAACGATAATAATAATATTGATAGACGATAATATTATTGTTGCCACTTGCCTGCGTCTACAAACACAATAATTGAATAATACACTACTTTATGAACATGGTAAATTTGCGACTTGCGTTCAGCACTCGGCACTCGGCAGAACTGCAGAAGCCTAACCTAACCATTTTCTTTTTATAACCAATATTATAATAGGTACCTAAATAAAAAAAATTAATAAAATAATATTGATACTAATATTCTCAGTCTGGTTCAGACTTCAGACAAAGTTAGTGCTCGCAGGTGGAAGTTGTTGGATACTACAGCAGTGCAGCAGCTGTCAAAGAAAATAATAATTAATAATACAAATAAAAATAAAAATAAAAAATGTATAATAATTTTGACGTCTTGGTCAGTTAATTAAAAGTTAATCAGTTCACTTGAGCATATAATAATAATAATAGCAAAAAACAAACATTTTCTGGACCTCAATTTTTTTTTAAAATCATCCTGACCTTATTGGCTAATAGAAACAAATTTCCGGTCCCCGTTCTCACAATAAAGAGCGTTAAATAATTTTCAGAGTTTAAACTTGTATCATCCGCAAGCGAACTGAGTAAATTTCTTTTATTTGATCGATCGGTAGGATCGAACTAAAAGAAAAAAAACGGAAGAGGTAAGTTGTAGCGTTTTAGTGACGGTCAACGATAGATTGATTATAAATATCTTCCGTATATTGGTAATATAATTATTGATAATACATTACTACACAGCTACACTACGTATATTATGCATTTATAATTATTAAAATATACTTGTTATAACTATATAATATATATAAGTATTGAATTGTAAGTAGGTGTAGGTAATAATATACTTTTTGTCACACCTGCACCCAAAGTTTGGTTTTCGATAGCGTTTGAAGCGTTCGAAAACGTCCTTTTTCCGTCCAGCGGGCGGTAAAGTGGGAATCCCCAAAAGTGCCGGGCGCACAAATCGTTACAGGCGTGACAAAAAATAGTGCGTGTGCCGTGTGGCTCACGCGGGAAGGCCATTTCAGTCTTTGGCGAAATGCGGCCCTCGCCTACTGCTCGTGTCACACATGTCGCCCGCGACTCAAATAGCTCACTTCCCGCCCTTGCCACACAATATACTATTTTTTCACGCCTTCACCGAAAGTTTGGTTTTCGATAGCGGTTGAAAAACGTTTGTAAAGTGGGAATCCCTAAAAGTGCCGGGCGGTAAACTGGAAATCCTCAAAAGTGCTGCGCGCACATTTCACGCGCGTATACCCTGCTCAAAGTTTGTGGTGTAGCCACAAACAGACACTGAAGACTGAAATATATACCACGGTCGTCGGTCTTTACAGAACATAAGCTTTTGGTTACATCTTATAATCATATTATAACCTCCATGCGTGACGGTTAAGGGGCCTCGCTACTGCCGTCAATTTTAGCTGAAAAGACCAAAAGTATTGACAAAATTAAAGTTAGTTAACGTTGTCCGATTTTGATTCTGAAAAAAATTTGAACTCATCAGAAAATTGTCTATAGATCCTACGAAGCACTTTGTAAAAATTAAATTTTATATTATTGCGAACTGTAATTAAAAACTTGAAAATATCAACTTTTTCGAACCATAATTAAAATTAAAATTAATATTAAAAACAGAAAATGTTTCTACAGACATTTTACGGCTGAATTGTTGTGACTTGTGAAATTGATAATATGGTTATCATGTTATTGACACGTGCATGCGCGTACGAGAGAGGATACCCGCATTTAATTTCACTCACACTAATTTATCATTTACAAGTTACAACTAACACATAGATCCCGGGCGGCTTTGACAAGATTAGAAATTGCCTAAATGTTGCCCCTTAAATAATGACAGTAGCGAGGCCCCTTAAAATAAATAAAACCAAATCGTTTCTTTCATTAAATATATTGTTGTCGTATAATTATAGGTCTAGTTGTTGCATAGATCCCTGCATTACCTTTGCCGTGATCGATGAATGCAGAGGCGAGACAAAAAATTAGTATGTGTGGCTCATGCGGGAAGGCAATTTCAGTCTTGTGTGAAATGCGACCCTCACCAGCGACTGAAATAGCTCACTTCCCGCCCTTGCCACACAATATACTATTTTTTCACGCCAGCACCGAAAGTTAGTTTTCAACCACTGTTGGAGCGTTGGAAAGCGGCTTTTTTCCGTCCAGCGGGGGCCGTAAAGTGGGAATCCCCATAGTGCCTTGTGAAAAAGTGTAAATCCTCAAAAGTGCTGGGCGCGTATATCACGCGTATTCCATGCACAACCAGACACTAAAATCTATACCACGGTCCTTACAAAATATAAGCTTTTGGTTACATCCTAATATCTTATATATACATATTATAATCTCCTTGCATGACGCTTAAACATTTTATTTCATGATATTGTTATCGTAGAATAATCTGATTATTGCATATAACCCTATGACCCTATATGTATAGTGCTTTACTTTTGCCATAATTACATTTTTTTTGTGCTCCGCGTTTGGTATAGACTAGGTAATAGAAAACGGGTATAACGTGAGGATTCGAAACAGCGTAATAAGATCTGCATATTATGCATTTATAATTATTATAATTTATAAATTATAACAAATTGGTGACTTTAACATACATTTTAATGATAAGAAATCGGAAACTTTTAAAACTTTCCTTATGGACACATTAAATTTACGTATTATGATAAACAATCCAGCAGAATCTATAACGAGAGATGACAACACTATCGATGCAGTATTTTCAAGGTATTTGGAAAAAATTACATCACAAACATACGTATCATATTTCAGTTATCACAGGCCTATAATTTCGATTATTGAATATGATTAATATAATATAATATATAGTACCTAATTAAATAGTAATAATAATCATTTTCATATTAATTTATTTTTCACATTCACTTATTGATATTTACTTTTATTTTGAATGGTTCCAATAAAATGTATTTGTAATCTATAATATTTGTTAGAAAAGAAACTTCGTTTCTACCGGGTGTCCCATGACAGCACTATTTTTTTTATTACTACTAGGGCCCAGATTTGAATGCAATATGCATTATTTTTTGGGAAATCCATGGGACTAACCTGCAGGATTTTCAGAAAGTGCCTTTCAAGTGCAAATTCCGTTTCATACATCCGCGGCATCCGCCCGTCATAGAATGTGGTACCACAACGTAATACGTAATAACTATAATACTATATAGGTACTCAAACAAATTCTTACCAAAAAAAATTGTATTTATATATTATACACCGGCGCCTGGCCACCCCCCTAAATGTGTCAACCATTTGCCGCCAGGAGCAAATGTCTCTGTTTCTCCCCTTAAATGGCCCTGCCTAAGATTGAAAAATTACAGGGAGTTAGAGTCCTTGAAAATTTAAGTGCAAAATAACCTGTAATATTAATAACCGTCAGCTGTCAGATAACTTGTCAGCGTCACTGGATATTAGAAGTCACAATTCATAAGAAGTCCTCTAAAATCAAAATTGAAAATTTATCATAGAATCAACGTATAATTTCATCATTAAAAACAAAATTTAATTAATAAAATATTAAATAAGTTTGCTATCTTATATTGATTATAGCCAGATCACTGAATCTATTTTAGGACATAGACGACCCGTTGAATGCTTTAATTTTTCTCATATGAAAAATAAAAAATAATGTAATAGTATATTAGTATTCAACCTGCACGGCTGCACTGCTGTTGATACCTGTAATTATAATATAATAATACTATATAAAATACCTATTTAAAGATAACATAATATATTTAGGTAGGTGAGCCTTATACGTGGTTAAATGATTCTGAGTGGGTACTGGGTAGCAGGTACCTATAGGCTATACTTGTACGAATATTTGGTGTTTGGTGTATTTGTTATTTTCCACCTTTTCTCGAGTTATTGGTAAAATTACGATTATTTGAGTATTAGTAGGTTTGTTTAACCCACTATATTCTTTAGTGTTAACATTCATTCCATATTTTGTCGTCAATCTATCCCTGCAAAGGGTGGTGGACCGATTTTTCATCGACTCTATTAACGTGACACTCACCAGTCACCAGGGACAGACTAACGAGGGTAGCGACTAGAGAGCAACAATTGCCGCTTAGTACTGTTCATAGTGAACCAAATTGTATTCAAAATAATTTTTTGGGGTGATCGAATTTTCAAAATTATCACGGCTGAAATGTTGACACTTGACTTAGTTCGTTGTCCACCCCAAAACCATATAAATATTTATGATAGCTGAAGATACATAATATTAATTCTATCATTCTATAATCTATATTAGATTAGATCAATCATTCTATGTACCAACTGTGTGACGTGTGCATATGAACTATTTATTACATCGTTAATATTGCTATTGTAATTAGAAATTATGAAGTACTAGCTGATCCCGTGCACTCCGTTGTCCATTAAAAATATCAACGCTATATGAATAATATGTTTTTTTTATAATATAACGGTTACCATAACAACAATTTTAAACCAATAATTATTATTATTATAGCTTCAAAACCCATGGCAACCATTTAGGT